GTACAACAATTGGATGATGTGCGCGAGATTCGGCGATAAAAAGCAAGCAAGACGACAAAATATGGCTGAAATCGTGTTTTCGTGGGGGGTGAGTGAATTAAAATGTATTATATTTACAGAAAAGAAGGACAGTCCTTATGAAAACTACAATAATTATATTATATTAAGCATAGTTTTTCATCCCATGTTTATTTTTTTTAGGAAATAAGACCATTAAATTTCTGCCAGGCATATTAGTTATTTTGTGCATAATCAGCAATTTACCTGGGGTGGTGCATAGTCATTTTCTGGTAAAACATTATACTTAGACAAATTTTTCCTTCCAATGACCACCCCTAAAAGCAACCCTTCTAAACACTATAAGCACTTCAGAAAGGCTGTCGCTTTTGCTTTTCGGAAGTTAGAGCTATGTCGGCACTGCCGGTTCAGGGCGGGGTCATTTTCAGGACTTTCGCCCCGGATTCAGGTTTTGGCACATATGCCATGTTGACCGCCATGGTCATTTTACCCTAAAACAGTTGAGATTACCTGTGGTAAATGAAACGCATACAAACTCCTATACAGGTCCTAGACTATGATCGATATCTTCATGCACTAGTGAAGATATGGAAAATATTTCAATGTGTGTTTTTCAGTATCTCGCTCTCTACTATATAATAAATACACATATATTAACCCTTCAAGTGGCAATGTGTCTTAATTACTGTATTAGTAGTATTACTGTATTATGTTACAGTCTAATGTCAGACAATTTTACTAGTCAAGGGGAGAGCATGTAGCCAGAGCATGCTGCCACTATGGTGCAATATATGATCTGTTTTTACCAAAACCATAATGATCCCAAGCTTCAAACTGAAGTGTCATGTTTCCATATTCAGGAATGGAATTCTATTATTAGCAAATTTCATCATAGTTTCTCACAGACCAATCAGACATCACCTCTTCCAATGTTAGAAATGTTGTACGTAGCATATTCTGAATTAATTACCTGGATAGTGCATCGATAGTGACTCACTCATCCCAACAGCTTGTGGGCAACATTTTTTTTCTTGCCATGTAACTATCACATCATACTGTGTATGTGGTTCTGAACAGACAATGGCAAAGTGAGTATCTATTTTCTACCCCAAGACTCTTCCCTTTGAGTAAAATAAGAATGTCTGGGTTCATTTGGGCACATTGCTGCTTAATGGGCTGACTATATCTCAGGGGCTGCATGCTCATTGGCAGATAGTATATTTAACCCACTGAGTGGCAGCAGTGAGCAGTCTCCCCTTAAAATCGTCTGGCATTACACAGACAGTGTAAAACAAGGGCTCATCAGGACAGGCATATGTTGACACACGTAGGTGGGCCTCCTCTACTCAAATATTTCTGGTCTCGTGATTTTGTGCTTGTCTATATATATTAATCCTGCACTATATGATGGACAAGTATAAAAATTTCGCACCATATAAACATGTAAAAACAACCACCGAATATAAATTACAAGTATTAAAAACTGGCAGTCTGGCAATAAAACCACAAAGGCCAGTGCTGACACAAAACAACATAATTTCATGCACACAGTATCTACTCATTAACAATATTTGTATGTCTGCTATTGAAATATTTGCTGTATATATTAGGATGATGAGTTTTTGACATATGAGTGTATTTAATATATCTCGAGTGATAAGACCATGCAAGTCCCTAGAATTATTAAAGTTAAAAAAAGTTTCGTGAATCTTACCTGAAAGAATTAGTCTTTCTTTGCAGTGAAGTGCTGCATCCACAAGCGAAGCAAACCCGCATCCTTCCTCCGCGTTGTAAAACAAGTAATGTGCGATGGAAATATTAAGATTTTTTAGCTCAAAAACAACAGAAAACTTGAAATATCTTTAATATTTCTGTGCAAAAACCAGGGGGGTTAAGGACATCGTCGGAAGCTTAGGATCGCGGTTGGTCAGTGGCAGTTACCATGAAAATTTCGGAAGTGTTGTCATGGCAATGGCGTAAGATCCGCCATGTTTTCGGCTTCACTTGTTGATGCCGAGCAGGTCCTCCAGTAATATAGTATAGCTCAGTGTTGGTCACCCACGCCCGCGATATTTGATGAACTTTAGCTAATGCTTTGGCTAATGCTTGGCTAATGCTTTCGTTTCCCCGGGTGTAAATAGCCCGGGGGGAATTAGTACCCTCGCACGGCGCTTCGCGCCGCCGGCTCGGGGATTATCTTACTCCGGATCCATTACGATGCATTGCAACTGCTTTGGCACGACTTTAGACATGCTTTACCAGATTTAGACCGACTTAAGCCCGTTTTCCACTAGGCGAATTTATTCGCGCGACGCGAAGCGAAAACCGAAATCCGGCAACGTGATTGGTCGGCGAAAAAATTCGCGGCGAAAAAGTAGGATCGCTTCCTACTTTTTATCTGTTCGCGCGAATAAATTCGCCTAGTGGAGAACGGGCTTTAGGCAGGATCACAACTGCTTTGGCATGCTTTGAACTCCCTTTACTCGACTTAACCCACCTTACAACGACTTTGACATACTTTAGACATGCTTGTTATGAACAGAGTAATTATTAACATTTATATCGTTTACATTATCAGAAACATTATGCTAATTAGGTTTGTATTTCCACTTAAGGTGGCTCCCTACAGTTTTCTAAAATTTTAAGTATTTTAGGTAACCTTCGTTTTCAACCAAATTTATATTGAACACACTTAAGACAGGGCAATATAATCACTTCCAGGAAAGTTCAGAAGTCTTCTGCCGTCGATATATGAACAAATAGGAACAGTGTTAGTGTTGCCAAGGCAACCATGACGTTTCATCTTTTGCACTTTTAGTGTCTAATTTTACAATCAAGTGGCAATATCTTTTTTTTCCTTCGGTCAATTTTTCTGAATTTTTTTTTAAAGATTTATGGTTGAAAGAGGAATGACATATTAAAATTTGAAGGGATGTTTATAAGGCAGGTTTTGAGATATTCATGAATAACGACTACAAAAAATCTGTCTTATAGAATTTCTTGAAATTTTGATATGTTTGGCGAATCGTTATGCTTAGCAATCGTGCAAAGTTTAAAAAATTTTCACCGAAGGAAACGCGAGAAAAATAGTCCTAAATCCAGTTGAAACTGTTGACGTGACAAAATATCGATTCGACATGATCACTATTTGCGCATGCGTGTAAATTATAATGCGTGAGGAACACGAAACGCGTACGGTTTATAGTTGGCTTTTTTAGCAATTTTCACTTTGAGTTTTTGGCTTATATGTATCACACAGATATTTTTTACTTATTTTAAATGAAAATAAAAGATAAATATGTTCAAAATACGAAAGACAATACAGCACTAACTTAATCCAACGTTTCTTAAATTTAGTTTTGTTGTGAAAATCGGTGTGAAAACGTTTCAAAACATTCGAGTACAGTTTGATTTTTCGTATAAAACAACTCGTAACTGTCTTCATCATAGTTTTATTGGATTCAGCAGATAAAAAACTACATGTGAACTGAGTTGAATGACAGGATTTACGTAAGTTTCAGTGACGGTTCAGGAGTGCCTTGAAGACAGTATAAAATATAATTTCAGTCCGTGACACTGTTGTTGAACATTGTGAGCATCATGAAATACAGTACTAAACGTATTAAATATATAAAAAAACACACTGAAGGTAGGTAAAAAACTAGCTAACAACATACGTACTGTTCGAATGTTGAAAAGTTTAGGATTATAACAAAAAACTGGCGTTTTCTTTGTAGATAAAAATACAAAAACAACTTCCCGCGGCTTGTTTCAAGACTTTTACCGGGCCACGAAGATTCCACGCGCGAGTCGCGAGGATGACGTCTGAGCTATATAAATGTTTTAAACTGGACTATAACTGTAGGGAGCCACCTTAACTGTCGATCATGTACGTAATTGTTTTGTTATTGTAAATTTGTATTGTTTCGAAGTATAATATATTGTTTCATTGCTGTTTATAAGAAGGAGTTCACAGCGATTTATGAGCGATTTACCATATTTATTACATGGCGCCTGTAATGTAGTCACGTCATGTCACGTGATGTAAGATATCTAAGTATGAGAGAGAGACCACGTGTAAGAAAATAGGAGTTTGATATTGAAGGCAATAAAAGTACCTTTTTAGACTGTACAACCACAGTTAATAAAATAAGATGGTTTGGCTAGCCGGCAAACTTCAAACGGCAAATATGTTGAGGCACAAAGGAAAAAAATATCACGTGACGAGATAAGGGGGTGATTGTCTCAAATACACAAGGGATTTATATGTTGCAGCTGGCAATATTTTCGTCTTTTCTTGCCAAAATATTGCACTAAAGTAACTCGGCTTTCTGTGATACTAAAGTATAACCAAGTAAAGGTAATGGACGACGATTTGGAGGCAATTGTGTCGATTACAGAAGAAATAGAAGGCGAATGTACTTCGAGTTTGGTTGGCGAGGAGTGTGGGTTTGCTGAAGGTGAAGATATTTTGCCGTTTAACTTTGTAAAGAAGTACATTATAACGCCAACTTGGGGCAACTTGAAAACATAACAAGTTGAATCCAAGCGAGATTATGAGCGAATCGAAAGAGAAATTATTGAGACCGATTACGAGCGAAACGAGGCGGACATCGTGGTGTCTGTAGGGTTAGGATAAAACACGGATACGGACGTACGGATGGATGGATGGCGGACAGACGAATGAGTGGCGGACGGACGGACGGATGGCTTCCAAAAAATGTTTTTCAGCCTTTTTTTAGTCATATCCGCGTTTTATCCAAAAGGATAAAACCTTTTTCTAGCCTTTTTTTAGTCCAAAAACTTTTTTCTAGCCTTTTTTTAGTCATATGCGCCCCATCCTTTCTGCCACGGATACCTACAACTACAAACTCGCAAAATGGCTCGACGAGAAGCTAAAGCCTCTTTCCACCAACGAGTACACTATTCCTGATCCCCTCTTATTCTCCGAAGAACTGCGAAAGAAAGAAATCCAAGATGGTAAAATTCTAGTTTCGTATGATGTTTCTTCCCTCTTTACCAACGTCCCGGTTGATGAGACAATAGAAATCCTGGTAGACAAAGCATTCAATAACGAGTGGTTCAACAAGACATATAATATACAGCTCGAAAGATCGGAACTAGCCAACTTGTTGAACTTGGCCGTGAAGAACCAACTTTTCCAGTTAGACGGTAAGCTGTACCGGCAGGTAGACGCCGTTGCGATGGGATCACCACTTGGCCCCTTGATGGCGAACACCTTCATGTGTTCGATTGAACAGAATCTCGTTGACAACAACCGTATGCCCTCGTTTTACCACCGTTTTGTTGATGACACCATTACCACCTAATGAAGTTTAGCATCGGCAGAAGATTTTCTTAATACCCTCAACAACTGCCATCCATCCTTGAATTTTACAATGGAATGTGAAGTCGATGGGAAGCTGCCTTTTCTTGCTATAGAAGCGATAAGAACGCATGGCCATATCGAAACGAACGTCTACGTCAAACCAACAAATACCGGCCTCCTTCTCCACTACCAAAGCCATGTCGATCGTAGATATTAGAGATCATTGATTATTACCATGCTAAACCGTGCATTCCGTTTGTCGTCATCCTGGAAACACTTTGTGGAAGAGTGTGATCGTCTAAAGAACGTTTTTGCCAATCTACGATATCCTCTCAGACTCGTTGACACAATCATCTTTGAGTTTGTAACCAAGAAGTACGCAGAAATGAACAGCTCGATCCCAACTCTGCCCTGCCGTTTAAAAATCAGAAGTCGTCTGATATCGTGCGAAGACAACTCGCAGGCCTTGGTTCGGTGATTGGTAGAGCATTAGAGCCAGTGTTTAAAAGTAGAAAGATCAAAGAAGAAGTTAAAGTTCACGAGATGAAACCACCAATTGTAAATCAACAACACGTTGTATACAGATATAAATGTGATCTGTGCGATGCAGTTATGTTGGCTATACTAGTCGGCACTTACATCAGCGCATTGATGAGCACAAGCGCTCGGTAATCGGGAAACATATGAGGGAAGATCGTCGAGAGGATGCGTCGAGAATTGAAGGTTGCTATTCAAAATATTAAGGAACTATCGCCGTCCTTGAGCACTCAATCGGACTCGATTCGTTCAAAACTTTATACTTAGTCCTATAATTAATGGACATTATGTTTGTTTTGTTTAGTATGTTTGTTTGTTGTTGTTTTTTTGTGTACATGTTTGATACATTTATGAAAGACAGAAATATGTTTAATCTGTTTTATGTTTTTTAATGTAATTTATTACGTAATATAAATTTAAATTTTGCATGCTTGCGCAATAATTTGCTAACGTGACACGAACGGTTTAATTAAAATCAACGCAATATATGTAATTACTATAACTTGAAAATGATGCACGCTGTAGCATCGAAACGTCGTTTAATAAATGTAATATCGCTGTCATTTGTTTCAAAATTATTTTCAAAAAAGTTTTTGATTAAAAATTTAAATTATGATGTTGAAAATATGCTCTCATTCATTATCTTCATATATTCCTTTTAACATTGTCATTGTCATCAAATACTCCATGGGCAACGGCGCGAGCAGGTTCAAGTTGGTGTAAGTCGAGGTAAGGGAGTTGAAAGCATGCCAAAGGCGTTGTAATCCTGCCTAAATTGGTCTAAGTAGGGTAAAGCATGTCTAAAGTATGTCAAAGTCGTTCTAAGGTGGGTTTACTAATTTGGCCATACACAAACAATGCTCCAACTATATTCTTGTTCATATCTGTAGTATCTTGAATTTATTGTGTATTAGGGACCGGTCATTATTCATGGTAGGAAGGGGGGAAGCAAAAATAAGGGAGGAGCATAGGTATAAATAAATTACTAGAACGAGGGCTATTAAATATTTTCAAGGAAATGGGGTAGGCGTCAAAAAACTGGGGTTGCAATTAAATTTGAAAGAATTTGCTTAAGCCTGTTTCATCACACATCCCCTACAATGGAAATTGGAGGTTAACCCCCTATACCCCCTTCGGATATCCTAATACACTTATTGTTAGAAACAAAATTTTCTAACCCTTTCTAACGACGGAAAATGGGAGGAGGGGCGGGGGGGGTCAGAGAAAAAATTATATTATTAAATTCTATAAGCTTTCAATTTTTTAATAGAACAAGGACAAGAAAATTCTCCTCCCCCTTCCATAATAATGAGCAGTCCGGTAGTCCCTAGATTTCCTCTGTATGCCATGTTCTCACTGCAATCTAAGATTGTTCATTAACTTTTTGTGTATGACTCGTGTGGCAATTAATTTTAAAGCAACTAGCCTAACTTTAACAGAACTGGAATCACAGAGTAGAGACATACAGAGACGTAACTGGTGTACCCACTTTTTTTGTGCGCATGCTCGGCGGGTTACTAGATGCATGCATCTGATTGGATGACGACCTGATGACGACTCACTTTAAACTTGCTGAGCACGCGCAGTTGATCATTTTTCGCCCGGTCGTCTGAAAAAAGTGGGTAGATGATAACGTAATCTTCCGCAGTGTTTACGACGGTCAGTTACGTCTCTGTATGTTTCTACTCTGTGCTGGAATTGTGCACAGACCTGGAAATAGTGGTGGATCCTGGGAACGACGTTCCTAGAAAATGTTTTGATTGCTAGAAAGGATTGTCAACTTTCTTTGGCAGAAAGTTTTGAAATTTGTTTTAAAAAAATTATCCATAAAAATCAACAGAAAGGTTAAAAATTCCCCAATTTTTATTAGAACTGAAAACGCTTGTATAAGTGATATCACCTGATGCACAAATCGGTCAAAAACGTTTTTCACTTGAGCATACATAAAAATATTCCTTGAAATTTAAATTTCTTTATCACACAACTTGCAAATGTCAAATTAGGTAGTAATAAACGCTTATACTGTAAGTTATAACTACAACTGTAATAGACTATTACACTATATAAGCATTTATTACAATTTAATTTGATATGCTAAGACCCAAGTTGGTAACATTAGTAACATAGAATTAATATTATCCAATATCCAATTTATTGATTAATTGAATAGATTTTGTTAACAGACAAGGCTGTGAATCACAGTTAATGCCTAACAGCTGTAAGAGTCAAAATTTAAGTACGTTAAACCAACTAAATTTTGTGACAGTGTTTTCAAAGAAAATGCCCCCCCCCCTGGCCTCAATTTGTCATAACAGTGTTTTCAAAGAAAATATTTCCCCCCTGGCCTAGGATCCAAGAAAGGCTAAAATTATTTCCAGGTCTGATTGTGCAGAAAGCTGTTTATGTAACAGTAACAGTAAAAACTAACAAAAAAGTACATGGGTACTGTATCAAACTAGAAGAACTCTTCTAATCAAATGTTTGTTTGTTTAATGGTGCAAAACCAGACGCCATGCCAAATGCAGAAATATCAGTCAAGGAATTTCCATATTAATAATAATAATAATAATAATAACACTTTATTTATTGAGGATATAAACAGATAAAGTTACAACTTTTTTCCAATCTGGTCCTCCTAAACTCTATAGACACAACAATAACATTAAACATGACTATATTCAGTACTTCCTAGGAGTATGAACAAATGAAATCATGGGTATAATGTAAAGTATTAACCATACTACAATCAGTTGTTCATACCTCGAGAAAGCCCCAATTTTCTAATTAGGCAATTTTCTAACTATGTTTAAATTATATTTACAGAATAATATGTCGAAATACGTTGACACACAACTCACAAGTGTCTAAAGTGACATTATAAACATGACAATATTTGGCACTTTCTCCATGTACGAACAACCGAAAGTTGGATCATGTTCAGCTAAAACTGCAGCATGAACTTCGGCAGTTCCTACATCAAGAAAGCAACCAACTTATAGTCTTTATAAAGTTATCAAGAGAAAACATGCAAACAAACGAACACTAAATGTTCTTAACAAAGAAAAACACTGTCACTGATACTGATTAGACTATACACTTATATTAAACAATTAATTGCTAATGATATTTTTAGATGTCTTAATTAATAAAGCCTTATGCTGTTAAGTTTAGTTGAACTCACGAGTTTCTGACTAAAGTAACTCTTGCAATATTTGTTGAATGACGGCTGCGATGTTATTTTCTTTGCCTCATTAGGGAAACTGTTCCATAAGGTAGATGCCATAAATGAAAATCGTCGTTTTCCTGCGTTAGATCTAGCTTTGGGGATGTGGACATTATTATTCGCAATAGCTCTTGTTGAATGGTGGTGGGTTGGTTTTTCCATGAGAGTGCTGAGGCATGGTGGACTGATGTCATATACTCATATATGCATTTGAAGGTCTGTAGTAGGATCCTGTGGCGAATGGTGTCATGAATTGGGATAAAGTTGATTTCTTTGAATAATGTTATTGATGGGATAGTGTAATCAGCGTTTAGAAGAATCCTCGCGGCACGTTTTTGGGCAGATGTTACACGTTCAAGAGCGTCTGTACTACAATTACCCCAAACGCTACAACAATACTCCAGTGTTGGCTTTGCTATGCTGTTATAAAGGAGAAGGTGGAGCTTGGGTGTAAGGTAAGGTTTGGCTCGTTTCACAAGTTCAAGTTTGTTGTTGTATTTCTTGATAACGTGAGAAATTTGGGTGTTCCATGTGAGTGAGTCATCCATGTGCACGCCAAGTAGTTTTTCGCAGGTTGTTTGGGAAATGGTGGTTCCGCAGATAGAAACATTGAGCGGTTCGTTGATGGTTGAAAGTTTTTGTCGTGATCCAATAAGCATGACCTTAGTCTTGTTGGGATGGATGGCCATTCTATTCTCAGAGGCCCAGTTACTTAGGTTGTCAGCACCAGTTTGTAGATGTGATCTAACGGTGTTGATGGATGTCCCTGACTTGACCAAGGTGGTGTCATCTACATAGATGTAGGAATTGCATTCTTTGTTAACAAGTGGGATGTCGTTGATGAATAAAATGAAGAGAAGCGGTCCAAGTGATGAACCTTGTGGAACACCGGTATGTACTGGTAGGAGATCTGAAGATGCACGTCCGATAGACACTAGTTGCTTTCGTTCCGTGAGATAAGACTTGAACCACTGGAGTGTTGATTCTTTAAGACCATGAATGGCAAGTTTCTGTAGTAGAAGGTCATAGTTTATAAGGTCGAACGCTTTCCGGAAGTCTATAAGGAGAATTCCGCTGAGATTTCCTTTGTCCATATCATTAAGTAGTGAGTCTGTAAGTTGGAGTAACATTGTTTCACAAGAGTGGAACGGTCGTGATCCAAATTGGGAATTGGTGAGCAAGTTGTATTCTTGAAGGTAACCATGTAGATGTAGACCATAAAAGCGCTCCAAGATCTTAGATAGCACAGACAAAACAGCGATAGGTCTATAATTATCCTTATTTTGTCTCGAGCCTTTTTTGAACACAGGCGTGATCTTGCTGATTTTCCACTGGTCTGGAAAAATACCCGAGGTTATGCTAGTGTTATAGATGTAGAGAAGGGATGGGAGAACTTCGTTGCAGCCGACTTGAAGAAGGTGGATGTTTATCGAGTCAACTCCTTTTGCTTTGTTACACGACAAGTTGTTGATTGCATTCAGAAGGTATTCTGCAGACATGGCTGGAACCGTGAAGTGGTGGTTATCAGGAAGGCGAGTTTTCACAAATTGTCGAAGTGGTTCTAAATTTGGTTCGTGATGCGTTGTATTCAATTTGAAAGAAAATGTTTTCAATTGAGTTTCTTACCATAGCTTTCTTCTGTGGACTTAGTGGTCTCAATCTTGATGCTAAACTTAGACAAAATAAGGACTCTTTATCCATTCCATGGGCTGCAGGTTGCCTGTTTTGTTGACCTAACAACTCTAATGATTTGTCAAATATTCTCATTACTTTTTCGTTATCTGAAAATAAGGGATGATTCATCCGTGGCATCAAGCTCGGTGTTGTCCATGTCTGACAAAGATCCCGCAGCACTAGCTTCTCCAATGGCAGATACATTTATGATGCTTGTGATGTTACTCTGAGTGTATATCCACACCAGGCAAACTTGAAAAATATGCCTGGCCACGGTGGGAATCGAACCTACGACCTTTGGAATACTAGCCCAATGCTCTGCCAACTGCGCTACGTGGTCAGGTCGGTTTGACTATGTCATATTTTGGAACCGAGCCTAGTTCCTTCGATATCAATGTAATCTAGTAATCATGATTATTGCTGTATTGGTATGATGTACTCGGGTGAATATGATGCTTGTGATGTTACTCTGAGTGTATATCCACACCGGAAATACACAGAAAAAATCATGATTACTAGATTACATTGATATCGAAGGAACTAAGCTCGGTTCCGAAATATCACATACTCGAACCGACCTGCATGACCGCGTAGCTCAGTTGGCAGAGCATTGGGCTAGTATTCCAAAGGTCGTAGGTTCGATTCCCGCCGTAGCCAGGCATATTTTTCAAGCTTGCCCGGTGTGGATGTACACTCAGAGTAACATCACAAGCATCATATTCACCTGAGTACATTACACCAACACAGAAAAAATCAAGATACATTTATGTTACTATGAGTCTTTATATGAGGTAACAGCCACCTAAGATGTTCAAACTGAGGATCAGTAGCGCCAATATCAGATAAACCATGCAGATCCAGATTTTCCTTTTTGCTTAGCTAAATACCTTGCAAACGATGTGCGAATTGTTTTGTATCTCCGTTCAGCTTCCTGCGTTGTTGTGTCTAACAATCTAGCTTCGTCTTCCAACCGTTTTCTTTCTTTTATCGTGAAAATCTTTACTTTTTTGTTGTATAGCGTTGGAAACTCTCGAATCAACTCCATAAAATCGACATCACTATTTATCTCCGGTTTTGCAATAACAACAAGCCTAGCGTCTCGCTCATCTTGATCCGCCATCTTGAATTTCTTGTCGGCGACTGTCGCGAAAAACATTTTTTTTTGTTTCTCGCGACGCCGTCGCTGATGCTCGCCGCTTGTCGGCGATATGTTCTCATATGTGGCCGATGTCGCCAAACGCTTATCGCCGACTATCGGCGACATATAAGAACTAGCCTTAACCCAGATCAACAGCGTCCCAACTCGAGATAACAACATCCTTAACCTTATTATTACCAATGTACCTGAACATGTTAACATAACTGATGTGGAATCGCCAGACAACGCCGTCGTTTTTACAGACCACTGTGTACTCCACTACGAGTTGAATGCATTTGTTGAAATTCCAAAAACAAAGAATCAAAGATTCGTTTACAACTGCAAGAAGAGCAACTTTGAAGGTTTACGTTCCTCGTTATCTACCATTGACTTAACTTTGTGTATAGGACATGACAATATTAACGACGACTGGAAATCTTGGAGAAATACTTTTCTTGGCGCTGTTTCGAAATATGTTCCAAGCAAAAAACTAAAAAGACGAAAACAACTGCCCTGGATAAACGGAACGATTTTACACCTGATTAAGAAAAAGCACACTGTGCGGAAAAAACTAAGATCGTCCCCGACGAGTCATCTACGTGAAAAATTTAAACATCTACGTGTCACGATTAAACGTATGTTTCGCGAAAGTCGAGAACAATTTTATGTGTCTTTGGGGAACAACTTCCAAGAGAATCCAAAACGATTTTGGTCCGCAATGAAACATCAGTCCAAACAACGATACAATCTCTACAGCTGGAACAAAGAACGATCAAGAATCCCAGTCACCCAGGATCAAAGCTGACAACCCTAATGATATCACGTCCATTTTTAAGAGGTACTTTGCATCAGTATTTGACTCTGATGACTCTTTGAGGGAAGAAACCAGCCATGAACTCGAGACTCCAGTCTTGTCTGAGATCATTCTGACAGTTGAGGAAGTTTTTTAATAAGTCCCTATATAAGTCAAGGTGCTCTCCCGGAAGATTGGAAGATCGCCAACATAATTCCTGTATACAAGAAAGGTGAAAAAGAATATGTTGAAAACTACCGGCCGTTTTGCTGATGATACAAAACTGTTAAAAAACATCAAGTCCATAAGACAGCGAACAGCTTCAAAACGATCTCAAACATTTAGAAAACGTGGTCTGAAGAGTCTGGTCTCAATTTTAACGAAACGAAATGCAAGACACAACGTATAACAAGACAGATAATATCATGCAATAACATTTAATCACAAACTTAACAACGGAAACTTAGTACAGACTGAATGTGAACGAGATCTCGGCGTTTTTTTGTGGATATAAGCTTACCTTGGAACAGACAAGTGTACGAGCAGTCAGCAAAATCAAATAAACTATTGGGTTACATCAGAAGATCCACAATGTATATCCACAACCAGGAAGTGAGACACACATTATATCTTGCACTAGTTCGGCCACACCTGGGGTATGCTACCCAAATATGCATGGGCACCACAATCCATCGAACTAATGCGCCACCTTGAACGAACACAGAGAAGTGCAACCAAATACATCCTTAGTCTTCCATTCTCCTCCTCTTCTGACTATACCACCAGACTTCAAACCTTAGGCCTATATTCACTGAGCAGCGAAGTGAATATAATCTTGTGATCATCGAGCCTGAGGTGACTAATTGTTTTAGAATAAATTCAGTATTGACAAATAATAATATATACAAACGTTGTAAAAATAATTTATTTCACTCTTCCGCTTTTGCGTCAGACGAGTCCAGCTGTCGGAACTGTGTCGCCCGACTCTGTTATTTTCCGGTTTTAAATTGCCAAATAAATTCATTTATGCATTTAAAAGGTGCTTTCGTCTTTCGGAAATAGGTTAACACCTTATGTTATCGTTTCTTTTGCTTTTAGAGTAATAGTATGTGCTTTAATTTCTTCGATTTTTTCTTCCATCATTAGTTTTTAAGCCATTTTGTCAAAGCAGTCTGAACAGTAACTATATTGCTCAGGGAGCCCATCAGAACGCTTGAAAGCCATTTAAAAAAATCAATAAAAATCGATAAAGGGCGCTTTCCATTTGACGGAAATTCCGGAAATTTTGCTTGAAAATCAAATGGAACACGTTAATTTCTGGAATGCTGTTTCGAATATTCCGGACAACCTCGAGAATTGGAAATTTCGGAAGTTTCGAAATTTTTACATTCCATTAAAACATTTCCCAAACAACGTTGCTGCTTTCCAAAAGTTTTTTGAGCAAAAACCGCCCCCAAAACCAAAATAGCGTGCTCTTGACCATTTCAGCGCCTCGAGTCTGGATTTATTTCGCCGAATACTGAAAGAAGAGATTTGAGTGGCAGTGTCAAACTCTAGTCGAAATTAAAGAAACATCATTCCAGAATTTAACGTGTTCCATTTGATTTTCAAGCAAGATTTCCGGAATTTCCATCAAATGGAAAGCTCCCAACAAGCCTCCCATTATTTACAAGGCCTGTCACGCTGTAGCGTTCCGTTTTGCCACTGGACATTCCGGAACCGCAAACTGAATTTTTTGTTCAAATGGAAAGCGCCCAAAATAAGATAGTTTTGGTTTTGATGTTTAGGGTACAGTCTTCCTTGATGTGTTTTCTCCTGAAGAATATGACCCGCTAGAGTTGAACAATGCCTGCAGGCCAGGTCCACTAAAGGTACTTCGTGCACTATTCTTTTTTAACTTTGCCAGGAGATTATGTTTTTATCCGTGTTGGCATGTGTGTCTGTGTCTGTTTGTCTATCAGCTATTTATAAAAAACTATTTATACATATAATACAAAAATACGTTTGTGGGACTATAAACTATACTATTTGTGGGACAATAAACTATTTATACATATAATACAAAAATACGTTTGTGGGACTATAAACTATACTATTTGTGGGACAATAAACTATTTATACATATAATACAAAAATACGTTTGTGGGACTATAAACTTAACTATTTGTGGGACAATAAACTATTTATACATATAATACAAAAAATACGTTTGTGGGACTAATAGACCTTTCCCCTTATGAGTGAAATTTTGATCTAGATATGCCTGGGCAACAATTTCATCACAGCTTGAAAGAGTATCACAAAATTAGTAATATTCCGAAGTTTCGTTGCGAAATGTTGTAAAATGCGTATAATATAGCCTTGCGAAGTTTGCCGTTTTTCAGTCATTTTGCATTACAATCTAACATTTTGCATCAGTTTGATCATCTGATTATCAATTTCCCGTTTGTAATGCAAAATGACTGAAAAACGGCAAACTTCACAAGGCTATATTATCCGCATTTTACAACATTTCGCAACGAAACTTCGGAATATTACTAATTTCGTGATGCAAGCTGTGATGTAATTTTTGTCCAGACTTGTCTCGATCAAAATTTCACTCAAAAGGGGAAAGGTCTATTCATGGATTAAATTTGTGGGACATTGCCCAAGAACAAATTGACAAAATTTTGGTTTAAAAATTGGATGAGAAATTAGCAAATGTTTGTCTTGCTTTCCCAGGCTGATTAAACTTAATGCGTAATTGCCCATTGTATAATTTATGCATGATACATAACCTAATTTGGTTGCGGAGGTACGCATGCAGTCTCCGACTGCCCTCTAGTTAATTTTGTTTCTCTGCAGGCAAAGACTGAAAATCTGGATAGAAAGGACCCGTTACTGCATCAAGATTTTAAAAAGATCGTGGAAGATCAAGACATGATCAGATGTCAGACAGGACGCACCACGAGGGCAAAAGATATCAAAAATTATCATCTACCCCCCGAGCCACTTGTTCCTCTTGGAAGACAGAATACAACGTGTAGAACGTGGCTGCGTATGCCAATACACGACATCGATAGCACGCCTCGGTTAAAGAGCAGGTGCGTGATTTTACATTTCGTTTATATGCTTCTTCAAACACTAATTTTCCTCTTCTGATAGATGTGAACGAGTGGATGAGTTATGAATGTGCAAATAAGGGTACATATACTTTCATAGCTCATCTGCTCGTTGACAACTTGACATGCATCAGACAGACCTGGAAATAGTGGTGGATCCTGGGAACGACGTTCCTAGAAAATGTTTTGATTGCTAGAAAGGATTTTCAAATTTCTTTGGCAGAAAGTTTTGAAATTTCTTTAAAAAATTATCCATAAAAATCAACAAAAAGGTTAAAAATTTCCCAATTTTTATTAGAACTGAAAACGCTTGTATAAGTGATATCACCTGATGCACAAATCGGTCAAAAAAAGTTTTTTTCACTTGAGCATACATAAAAATATTCCTTGAAATTTGAATTTCTTTATCACACAACTTGCAAATGTCAAATTAGGTAGTAATTTAGTAACATAGAATTAATATTATCCAATATCCAATTTATTGATTACGTTAAACCAACTAAATTTTGTGACAGTGTTTTCAAAGAAAATGCCCCCCCCCATCAACGCAGTAACGTGTGCGTGGTGTATCCCGTGTCACTTCGGGAACTTCATAATTCATATAATATAACGTCTTTCCAAGTCATATCTGTTTGTGGGTATTGCCTGTCAAGTCTTCAACGGCATTGAATACCTCAATTCATAAGAACTTTGCCACGAACACATCGAAAGGAGGCCAATAATAGACCTTACGCATTATGACGTCACAAGGCTTGATGCCCGCATGGAATGCTGGTCTTAGTAGTCATCGCCCGGGAAAATTTCGATATTGGCCATTTTTAATAATTGTTCTATTTTCCAGGGCGATGACTACCATAAAGGCTAATTTCCACTCAGGAAAATTATCCCTGGATTGGAACGGACAAGAAAATTTTTCTTTGTCTTGTGAGCTCTAGGTTGCAACTAATGACTTTAACACAAAGAAAAATTTTCTTGTCCGTTCCAATCCACGGATAATTTTCCTGAGTGGAAATTAGCCTTTAGACCAGCATTTTTCGCATGCATCAAGCCTTGTGACGTCATAATGCGTAAGGTCTATTGGGTTGAAGTGCAATATACAGTAAAGTCTATATAAAGGGTCCGGTGCCAATCAGTACGCAAGTCCTGTTCTGTTCCCCAGGCACACCTATGTCGTTTTGGCATGTGAATTCTCTGTTTGTATGATTGTAGTACTCCATATTGTGACAAATCATTATATTAAATTCGAGGCGGCACTTTCCTTGCGATAGTAACTCCTAGTGTATCTATTCTCTAGAGAAAGAATGAGCAATACCTGCAATAATTCTCAGATAGATTTCCAAACCTGGCAAAGCGCCGGTCCAAGTCCTGAAGTCGTCGATATTGAACTACATTGTCAAAAGAAAAGATTATTTCCTGAGAAGTACAGCAGGCGACCGATTCTTGAGTGGCCAACAGTCCCCATAACATGTCAAATGCGAAATGATTCAAACAGTAACATATTCACCGTAGCTAGTGAATGATAGTCTGTTTAATAGTTGTATATGTGAATGGAATTTTTGTACATTTGTACTTGTTTAATTTTGTAACAATTGAATTCACTTTGAACACTTGATTAAATCGCAATTATAGAATATAGTTCACTCCGGTGTTATTTGTAAAAAATTGACTTCCGTTGAACACTACAATATTTTATTGTGGCGCTACATACAGTCGAACCTTGTTAGAGACTGGGCTACGTTTACACGTCTTCCGGATAGCTTTCCGTAACGAGGTGAAAAACACCTATCCGTACCTTTTAGGAACGCTATTTTCATGCAGAGGAATTATTGCAACGGAGCGATATATCTAACATGGGAACCCGCAGTCCACTATGCATGGACTACCCTCTAATACGGACACCTTTTATGAACATCTCTCTAATACAGACACTTCTCTGATACGGACATCTTTCTTTTATGAACATCTCTCTAATACAGACACTTCTCTGATACGGACACCTTTCTTTTATGAACATCTCTCTAATACAGACACTTCTCTGATACGGACACCTTTCTTTTATGAACATCTCTCTAATACAGACACTTCTCTAATACGGACACCTTTCTTTTATGAACATCTCTCTAATACAGACACTTCTCTGATACGGACACCTTTCTTTTATGAACATCTCTCTAATACGGACACTTCTCTAATACGGACACCTTTTTTTTATGAGCATCTCTCTAATACAGACACTTCTCTGATACGGACATCTTTCTTTTATGAACATCTCTCTAATACAGACACTTCTCTGATACGGACACCTTTCTTTTATGAACATCTCTCTAATACAGACACTTCTCTGATACGGACACCTTTCTTTTATGAACATCTCTCTAATACAGACACTTCTCTAATACGGACACCTTTTATGAACATCTCTCTAATACAGACACTTCTCTAATACGGACACCTTTCTTTTATGAACATCTCTCTAATACAGACACTTCTCTAATACGAACACCTTTCTTTTATGAACATCTCTCTAATACAGACACTTCTCTGATACGGACATCTTTCTTTTATGAACATCTCTCTAATACAGACACCTTTCTTTTATGAACATCTCTCTGATACAGACACTTCTCTGATACGGACACCTTTCTTTTATGAACATCTCTCTAATACAGACACTTCTCTGATACGGACATCTTTCTTTTATGAACATCTCTGTAATACAGACACTTCTCTGATACGGACACCTTTCTTTTATGAACATCACTCTGATACAGACACTTCTCTGATACGGACATCTCTCTTTTATGAACATCTCTCTAATACAGACACTTCTCTAATATGGACACCTTTCTTTTATGAACATCTCTCTAATACACACACTTCTCTGATACGGACATCTTTCTTTTATGAACATCTCTCTAATACAGACACTTCTCTGATACGGACACCTTTCTTTTATGAACATCTCTCTAATATAGATACTTCTCTCAATACGGACATCTCTCAATACGGACATAATTTAATTTGTTAATTTCGCCAGATAGTCTTAACAGTTATTGCAAAGTAATAATTTAACGAATTAACTAAATAGACTACCGTATATATACTGAGATAAAAACCGAATGTGAGGTCTTTCGTTGAAATTCAAGAGCGAGGCGCGCAGCGCATTGCGCAATGGAATCCAACATATAAACTCGTATGGTCTCTTATTAAAACTGAATCCTGAGAAGAAACATGCGTGCTGTTTGCACAATACAAAATAAAGCTTGACCGCCCCCCCTCGTTTAAAAATAATTTTCTGAAGCTTAAATATTCCTCCCGGAATGCATCTTTACAGACAGATAGGCAGACAGATACAAATCGAGATCTCGACAATCCATAGATCGCGCGAAAGACTGGGTCGAGTGGACTGTGGAGAAACCACTGCGTGTCGAGAATAGCGTTTTAATAATCACTTCTATCGTTTTAATAATCACGGCTATGAAAGCAATTAGCTAGGCAAGGTCTTTACTTTGCTGGCATGTCTCCTTGCGTGCTAGACTGATACATGTTGAATACTGTACTCATAGAAGTGTGCGTTTTTATGAAAACAATTACACAAATCTTAATATATCATAAATGAGTAAATCCATTTACCGAGTCAAATCCGAGTCCGAGTCAGTCCCGAGCCCGAGTCAAATGCCCGAGTCGCGTAAAAAAAAGACGAAAGTGAAGAAAATTCACAGTCGAATAGGGTTAGGAGTAGGTTTAGGGTACTAAGTCATTTTACCGACAAAGACAGTTAAACAGTGACTCGGACATTTGGCTCAAACTCGGATTTGAGTCGGTCAGTAACCGACAGACTCCAAAACTGAATAAAATTCACAGTTGAACAGGGTTAGGGTAGGTTAGGGGTGGGATTATGATTAGGGTACTAAGTCATTGAACTGCAAAGACCATTGATTAAACAATGACTCGGACATTTGACTCGGTCTCGGATTTGACTCGGACTCGGATTTGACTCGGTTAACCGACAAACTCTATCGTAAATTAATGTACGCAAAAGATTCTGAAGTCAAAGATTCTGAAGTGGTGTTAATTAAGGTGGCTCCATACAGTTTCTTGAACAGTGGAAGACACATTTCAGACCAAAAACTTTTGTACATTTATATTTTTATAGAAGAATGAAATCAGTCTTGCATAGAACAGTATTTTGAGAATCAGAAACTGTAACAGAATCCGTAACTACTATGGCAAATGGCAACAATGACGTTTAAAAATGGCTGTTAATATGCAATTGAACAACAACAACAACAACAACAATTTCTATTCCAACCATAATAAATTATTTACAATATGCATACTATAGTTTAATTCGAAAACAACGTATTATTAAGTTTTTTTTCTAGTGTGAGCAATCGTTAGGACAATTTTTAAAAAATTCTGTAGATTTTTCAAATCGAGAAAACGTGTTTATTCCGAACAAAAAAATTTTGGATCTACAGAATGTTTTAAAATTGTCCTAATGATTGCTCATACTAGAAAAAAACTTTTAAGTGACCCCTACTTCTTTAAACTAAACTGCTTTAAACTGATTGGTTGATTTTATCATCACAATGTTTTTCCACCAATCAGACCAGTTTCTTACAGATTTTTGCACTGTGATTACAGATTTTTGCACTGTTGTTACAGATTTTTGGGACTGAAATCAACCAATCACAGTCACGTAATATTTTTATGTATATTATTATAAAATAAAAATTGTGGGTCATCGACGTTGTTTTCGAATTAATTATAAAACTAGTTTAAATGCAAATTAGCTGCCATTTTGAAACGTCATTGTTGCCATAGTAACCACAGTTACGAACTTTTCCGTTACAGTTTCTGATTCTCAATTCGCTTGCTACAGTTTTTATTCAATATATAGACAAAATGTGATTAATAAAGCACAAAAAAGTACGTTGCCTATGTGTTTCTATATTTTTACAGCACACCGTCTGTAGATCGGGTAGATCATAAGTCCGACCATTTGGGCATGGTATCTTTTCTGAAGTGTTATAACCATAAAAAAGATGGCATCCATCCCATATGGCTATATTAACTTTCATGTTTGCTTGTCAATGGTACAAGCCGACTAATATCTGTGCTGTACTACTATTTGCAATAATGTTTAGTTTTCTCTCCTATAAATTGCCATTCCAAGATGGTTCCAAGTGATATAAATCCAGTTCGGAGCAAGATACAAGTACTGTAGAACAACACTTGAAATTTGCATCCGTTGTCAATTTTAGAGGTTTTCTTTGAAGTAATTTGATGTACACCTTAACTGAAACAGCAAAAAATGCCAAAACTTACAAGATATATTAGTAAGTCATTTCCACAAATTTAAAACTAAGTCTAAGCCAAAATCAAGGGTGGCTGGATGACGGTGGTGTAAGCTGTTAAATCTAACAGTCGGTCATCGGCCATTTTCCAAGCAAATCGCCAACTTGGTCGTCTACTGATGGCTCTGCACGGATATTATGGCCGAGCTTTTTGCCACATTAATTTGAATAATACAACATTGCCGGTTGCTGGTAGTCTATTAACCGTGGTTAAACTAAACTTCTGAGCAAACTTCCTGACAGTTGTGGGTTAAACTTTAACCCACGAGAAGGTTGGGCTTTCATAAGAATCGTATAATGATCACTGGTTCCAATGGGAGGAAGTTGGATTGATTCGTAAATATTATCCACCTTTGAGTTGGTTAAACACCAGTCTAAAGTTACATCAGCTCTGGTAGCTACCTTGACTATCTGCGTCAGACCAGCAATTCTTTTAAGATGGTTTGCATCGAGACCCGTGCTTCTAAAATTGAAGTCGCCCGTAATTAGGACCAAAGCTTCAGGGTGGGAATATAAAAATGAGTCCACATTGGTCTGAATGTGTGAATACAATTCTACATTTTCAGTTTGGCGGGATGCTGTTGAATGGTAAACAACAGCCAGTAAGATAACCGAGATAGAGCGGGGTAACTTCTTTGGTCTCACTGATAACCACAGTGATTCAATCGAAGAGTTTTCAAATTCCTCAATTCGTCTACAATAGATATTGCTATTTATGTAGGCACAAACACCTCCGCCGTTTGAAACCAGTCTATCGTTCCTAAACAGATTGAAATTGGACAAGGATACCAAGTTGTCAGGAATTGCAGGAGATAACCAAGTCTCTGTAATGC